ACCACACCCCAACCCCCCCCCCCCCCCCACACACACACACACAAAATCTCCAAAAAGTTTTCTTTTTCTTTTTTATTTATTTATTTTGGAGAAGAAAAAAGGGGGAAGAATCCTTAATATTTACAAGCTTAATATTGTTCTTCAACATATAAGCAGTTCAAAAGAGTAAAAGCAGGACCTCAATTCTATCCAATTTCCAAATGCAGCCAAGTCTATTAGCCCAATCAAAAATTCATAAAGAGATGAAAGGTTTAAATATTAGACAAGTTAATTTTTTTGTAGTAATAACCAAAATGTTCTAAAATTAGTATCAGAACATTTGTAACTACATTGAAGTTTCCTAAAAAATTACTTCAACACAACATCTTACAACGCGTATCCTTTCATCTACCAAGCATCCCTTTTCCAACAACCAAATCACCATCTAGGATAGGAATCTATTTTATTTTAGGGAGAGGGGGAGAACCATAACATATCATTAGAAGAAAAAAATCGTAAAACTAGTCTAGCATAGACGTACTTCTGTTAAAACAAAACCATACCTACCAGCAATAGAACACTAAATGTGGCTTCACCCTTAGAAATATAAGTATCAATCTCCCGTTGCATATCTGGGTCTACAAGTAGATCATCATGAAGTTATGAAAGAATATAGCAGACTGGATATAAAAATCAATAAACAATTACCACTTGAGCAAATCTTGAATTCATACTAGCATGCCAGTTAAGTTTGCAAAAAGGATGAAAAATCATAAGTAATGGTAATTGGCATCATGCAGGGGTCCAAGAAAACATAGCTTCTTAAATCAATTCACGTACATTTTCACCTTTCTCCTTGTTGACCAATACATACATGTGAGAGCAAGCAAGTATATGCTCAGTCAACAAGGAAATGCCTAAATGCCAAATATAAGCAAAAGGCTTCTAAATGTGCACATGGCAACTTGATTTTCAATCTTCAATGATTGAGTCATTCATTAAAGAAGCTGATTGGAAATCACAAAAATTCATAAGTTTCACATCAGCAGCTTAGATATAACACCGAGTGGAAGAAAAATTATAATTTCAACAAAACTATGAGCAGAAATAATAAAATAATTTCAACAAAACTATGAGCAGAAATAAAGAATGGTCATTTGCTATATGAACTGACACTATCACAATGTATTGAACACAGGTAAGACCATTATGATATATAAAGAAGAAGATAAAATGGATAATGTTGTACCCAGTTGAAATTCAAACTTTCAACATGTATGGACTTAAATCATATATCTACCATAATTTGAAAAAATGGCTTCATCCTAAGAAAAATAGACACATAAAAGCTCTGTTTCATATGATTAAATAAAGGTCAGTCACTTCATATACTAAGCACTTCAAGATGTTAAGATATTAAAGAGATGAATCCATTTCAGACCCACTTACCACATTTTATTTTGTTCTGATCATTAGCAAAAAGCCTCACCAGTTCCCCCTGACAACATAAGAAAATTGGAATAAATCAGAATATCAAAAGTTACATTTATTTGTACTCTGGAAAATTTTCAGTGCAACAACTCAACTAGATCCGGAAGACAATAAAGCAGATTAAGTAAAAAGATCAAATAAAGCAGCAAAAAAAAAAAAAGGGAAGAAAAGGATTTTTTGAGTGATATTTGTATTTTTTGTGAAACTATGTAATTACTCTCAATACATTACACGTGGATTTTCACACCTCAGGAAATGCATGCTAAGTCATAAAATCACCTGGCGGCCTTGGTCATCCATAGGTATGCACTCGACAGCAATCAACTTATCAACATCATCAGCCGTGACAATATATTCTGGATTTGTTGCTCCTGAGTCAAATATTATCATAAATGATATATCAATAAGATAACCTTTAAATAAGAGCACTATTGGAAAGTCAAAAATGCATTTCATTTTTTTTTTTATTACCTTCAATGTACTGCCTAGTGCCATCCTCAAGATGATGAACCCACTATAAGACAAAAGAATAAACCATTGGTTTGTGGACAAAATAACATTTGTTGTATTGAGAATGTCTTGATTGATGGCAATTCTTGTATAGAAAACTTAAGCACATCACCTGAAACATGCAAAGAGAAGTCCCACGGACAGGGAATCCACATCCAAGGAGTTTTTCTCCTGGAGTAGCATCACCAATAATCTGGAAACCATCAATGCCAGGGAGATCTAAAATGAAACAAGTCCATTAGGTTTTATCAGAAACAAACAATATATATATATATATATATTGTCTCCACATAGAAGCATCCTCACCATCTGAAACAGAGGAAGCAATCTCATCATTCATGCTGGAAGGATGGGGCACATCATTGGCCATCTCTCCTGCTCTCGCATTCATATCACTTTTTCCAAATAAACTATTGGAAAGAGGGCCAGCTACCTTCCTGTGAAAAAATCATATATAATTAGAAAAGGGGTGCAAGTATCAGATAACAAGTCCCATCACCGAAGAGAAAAAGAATACTTCTAGTTCTTGTACAAGAAAAGAGAGAACCAAAGCATTAAACTCTGTAAAGCATCAAATATAAGATGACTATAGGAGACAGCATGATGTGAACAACTTGGGATAGTGTTCTGCAAACTATTTAGATGTGGTAGGTTTGGGGAATTAGATATTTAAGGAAAAAATTAAGATATTATTGTAGGAGTGAAGTTGAAAAGAAATAGAAATAAAGGCAGCAGAAGAAAAGAGTGCTTCGGGAAAAGATAAGATGAATAACACTCAAGAACACAAATATATGTACAAATCTTCTGCAGATTGTAAGCTGTGAACATTTTGTTATATTTCTGAGTTAATACTCTTTCCTTGTTTAGTTTTCTCTATTAAGTATTGTAATATTTCGGCCCAATTTCAAGAGATTTTATCCTTGATTTGGTTTACCACCTCTTGTATATATTTTGTCTTCAAGATCAATGTAAACATTTATCAGTTTCCATTAACCTGACACAAACTAAACCAAAATACACATAATTCCATTATTGAAGTCCTTCATGTCAAAGAATCACTCAACAATTAATCTAAGAGGTGAAGCCCCAAGAATGATTTTATCTTTATTAATATAAATACAAGAGAAGGGGAGTGGTAGGATTCAAAGCTTGGATCACTGGTCCAAAAGCGTAAATGCCATGTTAAAGAGCCACTCAACATAAAAGCTTAATCTATTAGTTAAAACCACAAAAATGGTTTTATATTTTATTTTCTAACATAGAAATAGAAATAGAAATAGAAATCTAAACTAAATATTATAGGGAAAACATGAATATAGAGAACTCCTCATTTCCAAAACAACCAATAGAGAATAACATAATCTTAAAAATTGCTTTACAAATAATATATCTTCACAAACTAATATTGATTCCTAATTCATTAAAAATTTTCTTATGTTAATTAATTGATCTACAGACCATGAATAGTTCCTGGAAAATGCTTCCAGTTTAATTTAATAATAACTCTCTTGATATAATATGTACCAATACTTCTTACACATTTATAACCACCTCTAACCTTTCTGCTTCAATAACCATTCTGGTTCTGAGAACTTTGCTGAGCGGAGAACATACTCAGATTTATTCAAAATGACTATTGTAAAAACTTAAGAAAGTTTGTGTTAACCAAACATGACTACTTGAACAATATAGAATGAATCTCCAACAATTTCTTGAGCTTCGCAAATCTTAAACCAAAAAAATAGGTTCTGTGATTTATAGCTAGTTACCTAACAACAATATTATCCACCATAAGAAAAGGATTGAATGCGCTACATACAAACTATATGACCAACCTGTCTGGATCAAATGAGAACTCTGCGAAATTGTTGTTATTTAATAGCTGGTGCATCCCATTATGAAGTGTTAAACTTGATTTATCAGCAAGATTTGTCTCATGTACAAATCTTGGCACTTTGTCATTCAGTTCCAGATGCCGGTCAGCTATATGATGATTAGAAGCAGAAGTCCCATCGTGACCCTGCATTGAAAAAGAGAGAGCAAAATAATAAGAGAAAAATCATTAATAATTTAATCATAAAGCCAAGCTCATGCACTGAAAAGGTGACAATAAGGAGACAGAAAACAAGTAGATTACATGCCAGTAATACCGTGGATCGATGAGTTGTTTGACCCGTCAAGATGCCAGAAACAGGATTGTCTATATCATGAGAACTGCTTCCATTTTTAGAGCCCAGCACAGATGCTATCTCTCTGATTATATCCTGTGATAAAAGTAAATCACAAGTGTAACATTATTTTAACTCATAACCAACCGAAAAACAACCAGATCTTGATACAGGAAAAACTTTGATAAAAATGAGCACCCCAAGTCCCAAAATAACAATTTAAAAACAAACCAAAAGAAATGTTTTCAAGGAAAAATGCTCAAGTCAAATATTGATGCAGGAGATGCAAAGATGGGTAAAGGAAAAAATGCTTTTGTATATGCATGGTAAGGGAGTGTTGGATCTGCAAGTCTAAGATACACATACTTAAATACATGCTTGCATATGGAAATGAATAAAAAAAAAAAGTAACACCTCCGGGACTCATGAGAACATATAGCTTAAATTAGATAAAATGAAGCATTTGAAATTTAATCAAATAGAAGAATGATAATGGCAAGTTCATAATTTGGAAAAACACAAAAACAAAAGCAACTCTTCTGCAGCATGCCTCATAGCTTACATGTGAAGTTCTAATCTTCCACTGCAATTGATCATGCAGGAGCTGCAAAATATATATAAAGAAAAAATAAAGTAAAATTAGTTAAATTTTTATTTGATAGATATTTGAACGTTGTTCTCATGCTTAATAAAAGTCATCCATCTGATGTCAGCTAGATGCAGGCATTTAGAGATCTTTCCCATAAGAGTACATATTTACAGGATACATGGGATCAAATATGATACAGATTCACAGACAAGGATAGAGTGTAACTTGTTTGAGGACCAACACAAAATATAAGGCATTTCTCATGCCTTCCCAAAGAACTTAGTAAAAGAAAAAGGTACCTGGGAATGGCCCATCAGAATAATATAAATCCAGAGCATGCTGTGATTCTAGGGTTTCCTTTTTTCTTGTTTCTTTTTTGGCAACAAGTCAATGGGAGATAAAAACATAAATGAGAGCAGCCTCAAAGGTCATGCATTGTCTTGCAGTACCATGTTCACTTCTTGCAGATATATAATCCATGTAATTAGTTACCTTTACACTGTTAGAAATAGCAGAGGCATTGACAACATGGGGCCGGATTCCATATTCAGCCAATAACCCAAGCAAGGATGAAACGAAAATATATCTATCATCATCCACAACCTGGAGAACAAGTACACAATTCACAGATGCATTTTACCCAAACACATTCAGGAATAATTGATAACAAAAAAAAAAAATTAAGGCAAATAGATTATGAGCACTGTAACTAGGCATTAACATCCATCTATCACAACAATTGATAGCATCACTTTCCACAAGTTGTTCAGCTGAGAGGGCAGAGAAGTCAAGCACATATACGAAATTACAAAATTGTTTTTCCTTTATGTTTTATAGAAAGCAACGATGGGAAGCATTTGTTTACACTTCCCAAGCAGAATGTTCTACCCTGATAAATTAGTAGATGTCAAAAAAAAATTAAATATTCAGATGTGTATATGTATGTTGATAATATGAGATCCAACATTCACTTTGAGCAATTTATATGACAAAGCTAAGCTATGTACCGTGCATGATATGATCTAGCTCACACTGCATTTCTATATAAACAGAAAAACAATAATGGATTTACTTATGAAGCTACTGATTACTAGCAAGACCATTACAATGGACAAAACTACTTTCCATATGAGAGTCCCAACAACCAATCACTACAGGCTAACCTTTAAACATGGAATCAAGTTTACCATTTATTGTCGGAACTTCACTTAAATTAATTACTTGTTTCCCTGGTTGAAGCAAGTTGCTTGATGTTAAGGCAACTTCAGCTTCCATGCTTTTAAGCATTATCTACGACCACTTAGGGTCAGTGGTGAAGCTCAAGGTTTTTGCCAAAAGAGGCCAAAACACGTACTGTAACATATTTTATAATGGTCACACACATAAAAATGAAAAATTTTATCAATTCAAATTAATTACATAAATCATATAATATAAGATAAAAGAATAAAAATATGTGAAAATGTATTCAAATTATAAAACAAATAAATGTAGAATTGAATTGAAAGTTATACTCTAGAGCATGTGTGATACATTAAAGAATATGAAATATATCTTGACATTTCTTATATATGTAGCTTGTAAAAATAGAAAATACTAGTAAGTTGGTCCACACTCTGCCGTGGGTCGAATCAAATTCTTTTTTAACCTAAAAAAACAATGTGCAGATGTTATCTAACACATTTTCTAACATAAAAAATAATTATGAATTGAAAAGTTGATGTGTGCATTTAATAAAACTAATCTAGAATTATATGCACCAACAAATATAAAAAAAAAAAATTGTTAACACTAACTAAAAAAATTGAGAGAAATAGAAATTAAAATACTGATCTCATGCCGCAATGAGCTCTTCAAGTTTTTTATCTAATTATATGAAAATGAAATTGTTCTTCTTTTTTTAAGAAGAGTAGTAATTTAAATTCTACTTAAATAAAATAATTTTTTAGTATAATTCCTCATTTTCATATGAATATATTTTTTAACAAAAAAGTATAGCATTCCAAGCTATGTTGTTGACTTAATAAAAACAGAAGGTAATTAGAATAAATATCCAAAAAAATAATTGAACGATTTGAAATAAAAAAAAAAAGGTATCTCTTTAATTAAAACCCTTTCATCTTATTAATACGCTCTCTTTTTTTTACATTTTTTTTTCTAGAATAATTGCTTTTTAATAACAGACTATCAAAACCATATAAGCAAGTCTTAAAACAAATTTTAGTCCTCATTGTATTAATATTTTTAACTATTGTCTATGTTTTTTCTTAATGTTGAGCATCTTTGGAAAAAACAAATTTTATTATGAAAAATATATATTGTTGCTTTTTACAAAAAACCTAAACTACATGATCAAAAAAAAAAAGAAAAAAGAAAAAAAAAAGAAAAATCTAAACTAATTTATGTAACTATGTGGTGGATTGGTTAAAAACAGGAAAATAATTTCCTCTTTTAGACTATGTTTACATATATAGTATATGGAAAAGGAATTGTCAAAAAGTTGGAACCAATAAAAATACAAGTACTCTTTCATGACAAAAGAAAATTATTAGTTCATTATTATTTAAAAAAAAATGTATTTTCACTTAAAAAAAAAATTTCAAATTATGCAGAGTATTTGTAATATCATATGCTTAAAATTTAAAGAAAAAAAAAAGAGTGCCTTAGCATCTTGTGTGTCCAAATGTTTGGAGGAAAAGGTGGGTTAAACTAATATTAATGGAATCCAGTGCTCCACAAATTTGTATTGGTTTAGATAAGGCTAAACCCTGTGAATCATTATCATATAAATTTTCATTTGCACTATGTTGGATTCGCTTAGAACCCTATGCTCAGTCATTTCACAAAATTAAATAGTAAAAGCAGGTCATATGAGGATTTTATTTAAAATAACTGACCAGAATCACCTGATGAAAAAAAAAAAAGAAAAAAAAAAAGGGATTTCTTCAAAATGACAATGATTTCTCAGTCTGCTCTTAGCCTTGATATCTTCATTGTTAATAAATACTTCTTACTTTAGTTTTACTAAATCATGGGTTGATATCAATGTTCATGCAACACAGAAAAAACTAAAATGTATTCAAAGGAATAGAAAAGCATAAGCTGGAAATAGAAACTGTACTAGACCTTCAAATCATGGGTCAATTGTAAATTTTCTTCCAGATCACCTTTTCTGCGAGCCAACTCATTTGAAGCAGAAGTAATTGCTTCAGTTTGCTTCTCATCAATAGCCTATCATTCAAAAAGATGTTGCTTCAGCAAATCGATCAGAGATTGAAAAACTGCTCTCACAATCCATCTTGGTACATATAGAAAATTACTGCATCAAAGGAAAAGGTGAGAACTGCTATTTTACAAGATGGACAGACCATTCTTAAGTATGAAAATTTCCTCTCCAAAATATATTTCTCATCAAGCAACTGAAGCTCCTGGCACCATATAAAACAAAGCAATTGCATACAAGTCAGAAATATAATAACACATTAGCCATTATGATCATCTAGATGCAGACTAGCAAAGGCCTTCAGATAAATTTACCCTCAAACAGGCAGCAGCAATTTGTCCATGAAGAATCTGAATCTCCTCCTTTTGTGCTCTTAATCGTGAATGAAGCTCCTACTTGCAAATTCATAAAGTGTAAGCAAGCCACACCAAGCTTGACTGTAAGTGAAGAATCAAAATCTCTACATGGAAAACCTTGAAAAGCACCCCTACCATTTCCTCTCTGTCTTCAAAATAATTGAGATTGCCATTGGTTTTCAACTTCCTAGGAGCAAGATGTACCTCAGCATCATGCCTACAGATAAAGAGAATACTTGAAATAACATGCTGCACAACTCTTGGATTTTAGCCAATCATCCATATTTAGGATACAGTAAAGTAAATTGATTTGGCCCTCATGTAAGCATTTGAATAAAGTAACTATTCCTGGGGTCATTGGTTTAGGCACTACCTGTTTATTGAATCAGAATTCTGAGGAGGAACACGTTTGTTGTTAAGCTCTTGCATGTGGTTTTTACTTGAAGACACGCATTGGCTGTTCTAGGTACTCTTCAAGACAGCCACTCCTGAATGACTGTTTAATTTCTCCATGATCGCCAACAAAATCATGCATTTTACCTCATTTTATTCCTAGTTCCCCTTCGTCCAAAGGCACTGCAACTTTTAACAAGTCACAGCTCCCAAATGCTGTAATAGGCACAGCTACCAATTAATATATGTACAAATAGGAGGAGAAAACGGTAGATATTGATTATCGTGTGAGGAAACTGAACCATGGAAAAAGCATTATAAACTAAACTACAATTGTATGAAAGAAAGAGCATGTCGAGTAATAATAAATTGCTAGTGTTACTTCCCTATTAGACAAGCTGAACAAGTTCGTTAGCCATATATGAATTTCCTCATGTATCGATCTTGCCACATGAAGCACATGGATTGAAGCATGCTATTGGACTTTTTCAAGACCACAAGAAAATGCATATTACACTTGGCTATTAAAGTCAACAACTTGAAAAGTTCTAATAAACACATATCAATAGATTAGATCACAACAACCTCCCCTGGATGCACCAAATAGAAAGAAGATCATTACATATACACGCACATACCCTCTTCTCACTTAATTAGCATTTTCCACCTATTAAAAAATAGGCAGTTTGAGGAAAACAAAGATGCAACAGTACTCCTCCTATTTGAAGATGTAACTATATACTACCAGGGGTTGAATCATCATTAGGAAAATTTTCAAGACTGCAAAACCACACAAGATTGACCCAGATGAACAAAAAACAAAAAATAGGATATATTCCTCAAATTGACAAGAGTAACATGGAAACAGTCGTAGCTGAATCCAAAAAAAATTCCAAGGTTAACATGGAAACCACCACATGTCCTCTAAAATCAACCGGATCATAAAAGCTACTACACCTGACAGCATAAAATTATACTTGTGTGATCAACTGTAACATACTGATGCCTTCCTTCCACTATTATCACTTACAAATAAATAAGTTCTCTAACGAAACCATAAAATAGTTAGAATTTCTTTACAGTTGGTGAGTAGTAATTTGATGAAATTCAGAAGAAAAAAATTATAATTTTACGTTCTACTAACGGAAAAGAATCCATAAAAAAAAGTACCTGTTGTGTAGGAGCCGAAAGAGAGATCTGTTTCTGTGTTTTGTGAAGGAGCTGAAGGACGAAGAGGAAGATCTTAATTAATGGAAGAGAATGAGAGAGCGAGGAATGCGGAGGATAGGAGATTGTTTGTTAATTAAAGTCTAAGTGCGGGTCGCGACCTATCTTTGTTTTCCTTCCGATCTAATATTCGTTTCGCACTAGTTTACCAGGGGACTTTTCCATGGTGGAGACCGTTTGGAATTTAGAATTTGGAAGCGTGAAACACCACTGCTATTTTTTATATTAAAATAATATTTTTTATTTTTAAAATTTATTTTAATATTAATATATTAAAATAATTTAAAAAAAAAAACGATTACCTATATTATCAAACAAACTCTTAACTAATTTATAACTTTGTACATGGCGCTACCCAAACTTTTTTAAACTTATATTCTCTAAAATATTTTATCATTAAACTTTAAAATAAAGTTATCTTATTTTTTTTATAAAAATAAGTTTTCTTATCAATATATTTTATATTTTTCTTAAATAATGTAATATTTTTAATTAAAACCATTATTTTTACTTAAAAAATATTTTATAATTATTAAAGCAAGTTAATAAAAAAATATCAAAATAAAATGATATATCTATGTGCTTGAATACTAAAAAGAATTATAAATGTAATAAAATATAAAATATAAAATGTCCATATTAATAATTATAAATTCAAATAAAAATTTATAATAATATTTAAAAATCGTATAAAAATTAAAGAATAAGTAATCATGGTAATTGTTTTTGTGTGTCCAAAAAAAACAAGGTAAAAAAAGAAAGAAATATTCATGAACGGGTCATGCACGACATCGACTCGCCTAAAAAAGGCCAAGAGGGCGCGAGCTTGGAGGTAAAGCCCGCTCGCCTAGCCCTGTTTCATTTTTTATTAAGGGGGAATGCTTATTTAATATATATATATATATAACGAATAATATGTTGTTAGTTAAGATTTTGAAAATAGGTGCAAAACTCAACGGTTGAACGAAACGTGTTTGGTAGTATAATTGTTATTGTTTTTTAAAATATTTTTTTATTTAAAAATGTGTGTTAATAATATTTTTTTTATTTTTAAAAAATTATTTTTAAAATTAGCACATCAAAATGATTTAAAAATATCAAAAACATATTAATTTAAAGAAAAAAATTCAAATTTTTTTAAATGTATTTTTAAACGCGATGCCAAATACTCTCTTAATTGCTTTGAAATGATTAAAAAATATATTAAAAAGCTTTATTATTTATTTATTGAATAAAAAATACTTTTTTTAGAATATTTAGGTAATTATATGTTTATTAATGCGTTTTAAATTTCTTTTTGTCTAAAAAAGTTAAATTTATATTTTATATGTTTTTTAGAATTTTTTAATGTGTAAAAATCTACTTGTTAAACTTACTACTATCATAAAATCAAGTTTCAATTAAAAAAATTAAAAATTATGAATGGATAATTTTTACATACCTATATAAAAAAAAATTAAAAACAATAAATTTGATAGAATTATATAGAAAAATTACAATAAAAAAATTATTATAATAAATATTTTATTCTTATTCAATATTAATGAACAAATTATATAAAAAACTATGCAAATCATTATGAAACCAAGTTTTATAAAAACAAATATTAAAATAATGTCTCCATATTTTGTATATCATTTAAGGAAAAAAATAATTAATACGAATAAAATCATGTCAAAATATATCATAGAATAAAAAAGCATAAATTTTGTTTCATTAAATATTTATGAACACATTTTAAGTTTTGTTTTTTTCTTTCATGTTATATATATAATAATTCAAAAGGAATTGTTAATTTTCCAATAAAACCCTATAACATTATTGAAGAACAATATTAAAATTAAATAATAATTTAAATATAATATAAAATTATTTTTATTTATACTACATTTGAATCAAAACTTTAAAAAAATACTAAAAAAAAAACATTTCACCTTAGTCTAAAAAGATTAATCGTTCTTGCTTGGCAAAATAGAAAAAGGCCCTAGGCCCTAGCATATGTGGGCTTGTAAAGCTTGTGTTGCACACCAATCCTCCGTGATTACTATTATTTTTATATATTTAATAGCAAATGATTTATTGTTAGATTTTTTTATTAAAATATAAAGCAAATAACTTGTTGTTTGGTCGACAAACAACAAAATGTCTACAAATCAAGATTCTAGCATTTGAAGAGGTTGTGAAATAGTCAAGTCAAGGGTTTTATGGATCTAAAAACTCATTCTTAACTTAATTTTATCTAAAAATACTTAATAAACACCATAAAAATTTTAATAAACTAATTGATAACATCAAAACATCCCTAAATCAATTTAAAATAAAAAATTAAGTTGAATAAAAAAATGATTCTTTAACCCTGATCTTTTTTTTCCACCAAAATGAATGCTCAAAAACACCTTAATGGTACTCCTCTCATCAAGAGAGATCCATTAACAGTAATTGACCTATTTGTCATTGAAATATGCCTTACTAATCACTTTCTCTCTTCTCTCATATTTTCTGGTTATTTTCTCTTTACTTCAAATTCTAGATACTCAAATGTAAGGTAAATAAATTTAAGAGAAAATCTTATATTAATTTTTAAAGAAATTAGAAGAAAACAATACATAATATGGATTAATGATATATAACTATTAACAAAATCAAGAAAACTTCAAATAAATTTGGACCTTTCAAAGATCATCTAATGGGTTTGATTTTTTTTAGTTGGGCTTGGGTTGATAAACCATGTTCTACTACAAAACAAAGAAATATAATATAGAGAATAATGAAAATGAAAAGTGTGTTATGGTCTATGTGTATGGATTTATTGTACTCTTTAGTTGTTTACTTATGCCTAGTAGTATTTATATACCTCATATCACTTGTATTTTTATTATTGATTATAACATCTGTAGAAGTAATCTTGAAGAATGCCTAATTCACTATTCATCAACTTTATTTCAACGCAAGTGATTAGTATTTAAAAGTGTATTTTTATCAAGATTTTATATCATCATTCTGCACTTGAAGTATTAGTAACTCCTTAACTAGAGCATGTTTTATAATAATATATGTAATAATATAAGATACCTTTAATTTGTGGTAAATGTTCATTTTAAATGCATTCATTATGTTTAGCTAAGTTTATTATGTCAAGGTGAAAAGGTTACACTAATGGTGTACGAATACGTATAGTGTAAACTCAATATGAATTTTGATGTTTGATACTAACATGTTTTGTATTTGTTATCTTGTTCACTATTTAATACTTTGCTCATTAAATGACTAATCTAAGTTTATGTTGTATAACACTTGGCACAACAAATGCTTGGAACTTCCATAGCCCATACTGTATGGTTTTACTAACACCTGAGTTATAAAAGGAACTTGATTTGTTGTTAGCATAAGCTATAAGCATGAATGCCTAACAATATTTACAAGTATTAACATTATTCGAATAAGATAACTAATGTAATCATGTTAACAATTTATAATCTGATTGGAACCTCCTTTGTGTGTGGTTTCTATTTCAGTAATAACAGTTTATATTATGCTTGTTTGACATACCATTAATGGATCCTCTAACTTTGACACTTATTGTTATCATTGTTTAATCTTTACGTTAATCGTCCATCTAAAAGTTCTCATCAACTTCTTCTTCTTCTTCTACTACTACTACTACTATTATTGTTACTATAGTTGTTGTTGTTGTATTATTGTTATCTATAATTTATACAATTAACCTCCTTGTGGTTCGACCCCGGTTTTGCCGGGTTATTTATTACTTTGACACTCCTGCACTTGAGAGAAGATATCAATCTTTTGATCGTGTCAGTATGTGATATTTAGCTAAAGGAAAGAATTAGAGAGAGGATTCTTCAAGAATAAATATGTACATGTAATTTGAGGATTGATGTTTCTCAACATAGTTACAATGATTTGAATAAAATAGACACATAAAGTTACTTTGAAATTGATTTGATTAAGATATGTTTGAATTCATTTTTATGAGTTTGTGAGGAATAAAAAGCACAATGAAGTATTGGTTGAAAACATATCAAGTTAAGAATGAAACAATTACATTAAATTGATGTGATATTTATGTTGTTTTAGGATATGTTGTTATGTTGCATTAATAATAACACTTGGATTGTGTTAACGTATATATAAGAAGACTAATTTGAATTATTGCATGATGTATAATAATATCTAGTTGCTTATCAAATTTATGTTTTCCATGAAGCTATAATTTCAAACAAATTTATAACTTGGCTTTAAACAAAAATCAAAACTTGAAAATGATGTAATTTGAAATAGGTTTCTTTATTAGAGCTGTAGATATGAATGTTAGCTTTCAAAAAAAAAACTATTCTTACTTAATTTTGGTTTGTAAAACACTAGATATTAACTAGAAACCATGGAAAGGTCTAGAATTAACTAACCCTAGGTAAATTTCAAGTGCCACTATGATGGTTGATTTTGGGGTTAAAAAAGATAGGATTGAGTGTTTCTTTCTTCATAAAATTTATATCTTTATATATTCGCCTTCCATCAAGATAAACCATTTGAAAAATTGAGTTTCAAAACTCTAGTTATGATTAAAATATTAAATAGTGTTCTAGATTGATTAGATTAAACCAATTAGAATTTGTAAAATTCTAATGTTTGCTTGGAATTGTTATTAATTGAGGGTCTTAACATTTAGAATTATAAAAATGAGTTGTGTGATTTATTAGAAAAATATATTAAGGAAATTATATATATATAGTTGTGTTTATATGTGTGAGATGAGAACTCTAAAATAACTAATGTATGAGATAGCCACCAAGAGAATGGATATTGTCGTAGGAAAGGTGCTTGACATATTGATAACCTATTCAATACATTCATTATATCAAGTAATGACAAATACTTCAAATACTATATGTGTGAAACTAGTTTTCTGATAATGGGTTAGTGACATTAGTTTGTCTAACTACCAAGAATATTTAATTTATCATATAAGGTAAAATACACGCATGTATTATACATGAGTTGGAAATTATGATCTTATAATTATTATCAAAATCAATATAATAAGTTGAATGATCATGAATAATTTTAATTCTCACTAGGTTGTATTATATTCTAATATATTAAAATGATTTATTTTTTAAATTCCACTCACATTAAAGTCCATGAGCTTATATCTATATTATTTATCTTATGATATAGATAAAAATAAAAATATTATAAATTATTAATGTTAATCTAATTTGTATACCATTCTTGAGTTGTGTTGACACAAAACAAAGTTCAAGATGATTGGATTATGATTGTAGTATTGAAATAAGATATTGATGAAGATATCGATAACTTAGTATAGTCTAAGTATAAGGAAAACTCTGCTGGAATTTTGATAAAATGTATATTTTAAAAGATAATTATGTGACATTAATGGTTGAGGTTGTCATATAAAGTGATGAATAATTATTTGGCTAACCAATTGACAACAATAATAACATCTAATGGAGCAAGGTGTATATGAATTTAAATGTGTTGATAGGTTAATGATTGAGTATTAAATTAATTATACTAACAAAGTTTAAAGAAACAAAAATGATTTGAGCATGTCTTGCAAGTATAAAAGCAATGGAAGGTTATGTGATAAATTATAAATAATAGAAATAGACATGAAATAAGTGGAATGAATAATAAATTAAGAAACTTTCTTAATATATCAAGGGTGTTATATGGATTGAAATAAGATGTATTATAGATGTAATAAATGCTAGGGAAGTAAAAAGGCATCATAAATTAAATATGTAGTGAATTAATTAACAATATAAATTAAATATGATTACACAATGAGTTATGATATGTATTAAAGGTGACTGAGAAAGAAAAAAAATCATATGATTTATATGTGTTGAGGAAATAAATTTTGAGAAAAATTTCATGAGTTGTGAAATAATAATAATATTATTAATTGAATATATTCATAAAGTGAAAAAGTTGTGAAATAACATCGATATGAAAAGAAACAATGTATGAATGTGTTTGAATAAGACCAATAGATTTTAAAGTTATAAGGTATGAACTTTATAGTGACGAGCTAAATTAGATTATGAATTAAACAATTATTATAATGAAAGTATGATAATGTGATGAATAAAATGGATATAAAACACGCATGCTTTAGCACCTGGTGCAACAACAAGCACCGGTTTGACTTGGGAGCAATGACTTAGTGGTAGTGGGGGGCAAGGTTGCTTTGTTACCTATTCCATTAGGAATCATGGATTTTTTTGTCCATCACCTTCATGCATTTACAATTCATGTGACGGTATTGATACTCTTGAAAGGAGTTCTAGTTGCCCGTAGCTCTCGTTTGATACCAGATAAAGCAAATCTTGGTTTTCATTTCCCTTGTGATGGACTTGGAAGAGGGGGGACATGTCAAGTATCCACTTGGGATCTTGTCTTCTTAGGACTCTTTTAGATGTACAATGCAATTTCGGTAGTAATATTTTATTTTAGTTGGAAAATGGAATTAGATGTCAGTATAAGTGATCAAGGGGTGGTAACTCATATCACGGGAGGAAATTTTGCGCAGAGTTCTATTACTATTAATGGATGGCTCCGCGATTTCTTATGGGCACAGGCATCCCAGGTAATTCAGTCTTATGGTTCTTCATTATCTGCATATGGCCTTTTTTTCCTAGGCGCTCACTTTGTATGGGCTTTTAGTTTAATGTTTCTATTCAGCGGTCGTGGTTATTGGCAAGAACTTATTGAATCAATCATTTGGGCTCATAATAAATTAAAAGTTACTCATGCTACTCAGCCTAGAGCCTTGAGCATTTTACAAGGACGTGCTGTAAGAGAAACTCATTACCTTCTAGGTGGAATTGCCACAACATGTGTGTTTTTCTTAGCGATAATTATTGTAGTAGGATAATTGCTAGAAGGATTTGAAAGGCATTATGGCATGAAGATCTCCAAGGTTTAGCCAAGGCTTAGCTCAGGACCCCATTACTCATCGTATTTGGTTTGGTATTGCTACCGCGCATGACTTCGAGAGTCATAATGATATTATAGAGGAATGTCTTTATTAGAATATTTTTGCTTCTCACTTCAGGCAATTAGCAATAATTTTTCTATGAACTTTTAAAATTTGTTTCATGTAGCTTGGCAAGGAAATTTTGAAACATAGGTGCAGGACCCTTTACATGTAAGACCTATTGCTCATGCAATTTAGGGTCCTCATTCTGGTCAACCAACCGTGGAAGTTTTTACTCGAGGGGATGCTCTTAGCCTAATGAATGTCGCTTATTCTGGTCTTTATCGGTGATGGTATATGATAGGTTTATGTACTAATGAAGATCTTTATATTGGAGCTCTTTTTCTATTATTTCTTTCTGCCGTATCCCTATTAGGGGGTTGGTTACACCTACAATCAAAATGGAAACCTAGTGTTTCGTGGTTCAAAAATGTTGAATCTCATCTCAACCACCCTTTATCAGGACTACTGATTAGTACTTAAAAGTGCATTTTTATCATGGTTTTATATCATCATTTTGCACTTGAAGTATCAATAACTCCTTAACTAAAGCATGTTTTATAATAATATATATAATAATATAAGATACCTTTAAT